CTTTAAAAGTTGACGGGGTGAAAAATGGGATGTTTCGTAACAGATTTAATGTGACATCGAATCTATTAGGAAACATTGCATTTTTCACCCCAATAAACAAGCACAGCTTCACAGGGAGTTAGATTCATCACAATCATTATTCGTTTCATAATTTGTCTAACAGCAAAACACAAAATTTATGCACAAGCTTTCTTCGCCAAATCAAGGTTCTTTAAGAATCTCAGCCACAGACTGTGTGACAAGATTGACCTGTTTAGCTTGTTTGTGAAATTTCAGAGGTGGCATATGGAATTCTGTCAACTGAACTCTTTTGTCAGTTAGAGTTCAACTGCTTGATTCCTGTTTTGTTTCTGTTCTTCCCGAGCACATAGTACATGTACAGGAAGGAAGATTAAAGTTCAGGAGAAGGGGAACTCAAGTATCTGTGAGAAAGGTTCACTACTAAAATACTGACTGAAATGTCAAACATCTTGCATTGGTTCAGTGTTTTATATGTTTACTCTTGTCAAAAAAAATTTCCTGCTCCATAGACTCTTTGATGATTTTTGACAGGTTTGATATCAAGCACTGATATCACAAAATATTAACTCTTATCTGCAAACAGCAATAACTAGGGTATGTACTGTTCACACATATTGTCTTGTTCAACTGAACATTTTTCTGAAATTGCATTATGTGGCTCAGTTTGTCAGAGCTCAGTCTGTTCTATGGAGTATGCCTTTCGTGCCTGTTGAGATCATGTAAAGTCTGCTTCGTTTGCAATGGGGGCCATGGTGAGAAATGATGTGTAAGGGCAAAGATCACGTCTGCACTGGCGACTGGATATAAATTTCAACGTAGAAATGGGTGTCTCTTATCAGACACCAAAATAATTTCCTCGTCACTAAGGCGGGGGGGCCTCGAAATATACATTGTTTTCAGACATTCTCAATTAATTTATATTATCAAATATGATATCCGAGAGTGGACTAACTGATACGTTTTATGTACAAAAATGATTAATGTTGAAACAACTTTACTGAAAACTCCATTGTTTACTTGTTGTTTGATCACAATAATAATAATAATAATAATCCTTGCATTTGATATAGCGCTTTTCACGTCGGGAGGACGTCCCAAAGCGCTTCACAGACACACTGTAAAGTGAATTGACTGTATATTTGTGGGCGAATGCGGCAGCCAATTGCGCACAGCAATGTCCCACAAACAGTCATGGATTGAAAATGACCAATTTATTATTGTTTTGTTTTTTTGGAGGGATTATTATTAGGCGTGTGGAGTAAGGAAACTTGCCCAAGGTTTCGCCCTGCCTGGAATTGAACTCAGGTCTCTCACTTGCAAAGCGAGTGCTCTAACCACTGAGCTACAGGACTCCACAAGTTCAACTATTGGATGCGAGCAGATTCAAACTGCAGTCACATATCTAATGCATTTATCAGACTTATCAGACTTGAGGGTTAGCCCTGCTAGAGCTGAACTGGTTTGGTACTCTTGGAGGAGCCCTCACGTATGCTCACCTAGCATTCTAACCTGTGGTCCCTAATGAAGGAAAACGTATGTGAGTGTCTTGATGTCTGAAATATCCCCCAAATTTTTTAAACTAAACTTGTCGAACTGGATAGATTAAGGAATTAGCTTTTGGGCCATGGAGATGCCAGCCTAGTTGAAAAACTATATATCACCTTGTGGTATGATCAAAAATATTCAGAAACAAAATACAAGAAAAAAAAGTTGAAATATTTGGTAATACATTAAAGTTGCCTAAAGTAATCTCACAATTTATTTTCCAAAACAATAAACTACATACTCCAAAACTCTTCGAATTACTGCATAATAATGCTCTTCAATAAAGCACTGGCTTGCTTATAGTGCTTGCATTTGATATAGCGCTTTATCACGTATTTGAGACGTTCTCAAATCGTTTCACAGAATACATTATAAAGTGAATTGACTGTATATTTTGTGGGTGAAACACAGCAGCCAATTGTGCATAGCAGTGTCCCACAAACAGTCGTGTATTGAGTGACCCAATTTTTAATTTTTTTTTAAGGATTATTACTCCTAGAAAAGCAATCAATCAATCGTCTGACAACCGGGTTCCTACTTACTGCTAGGTAAACAGAGGCGTGCGGAGTAAGGAAACTGGCCCAACATTTCACCCCGATGGTAATTGAACCCAGATCTCTCTCTTCCGAGGTGAGTGGTCTAACCACTGAGCTACAGGACTCCATCTACTTATAGCAGGTCTACTGCGGATTTATGATAACCGGAAGCAAAGTACCCTTGGCTTCTGCCACTGACTAGTGGGTTTCTTGTGCTAAAATTGGCCAACTTTGGCTTGTCAGGTCAATGCAGTCATTTCCAGTGCATTACACACATGAGCAGGAAGTACCACAAACATCACTTTCTCTGATTCCTGGGCGCAGGAATTGCCTTGCTTCACAAAGTGATAACAGTGGTGCTTCCTGAGCAGATCACACATGCATGCAATGCATACAACGTGATCTTAGCGGCAACCTGGCAGTTTGGAAATTGGCCATTTTACCTTGGCCTCACTTATAATGCAGGGTCAGCTGACCACTCTATAACAAGGTTTCCCTGTATCTGCAGTCCAAAATATTAAAATTAAGTAAATTGGGTCTTAATTTGAATAGATTATCAAATCCAAATTTCTGTCCAAGTGGAAATTTTTTTGCCCATGGTTCTTTCTTTTTGCCTTTCTCTCATCCTCTCCCTTCCAGCATGTATAACTGTCTGACTGATAGTGGTCTCTTCCCAAGCATCTGTCAATGCTCATCTAGGAGAACTTTCAAAGTAGCCTAGAGTGCTTTTAAATATGATGTAAACACATCTCCATTAACTCTATCAGCCTCATCACAAGGGGAACTAGAAATACGGCAAACCCGCTTCTCCCAAAAAAACAAGTTAGATGGAGTGCTAACCTGTAGAATATTTGCTCGTCTTCTCATATTGTAATTGATAACAAACAATGTGTCATTACAGTAGTTTTAAATTCATAAAGTCATCAAATATTAAAATGATGCTTCTGAAGCAATCGGGTGAAACATTTTTGCAGCCTTGTTGACTCACCACATTCCCAACATTTGGAAGATTTATAAAGTCTGGACGGCCGATTGAGTACTCAATTAGCCCAACTGCCAAGTCCGAACGTTTCCTCTAATGAAAAAGGAACCAGATGGCGACTGCTGGTATCTGTGCTTCAGAAGGCAGAGTATGTTGTTTTTAAGTCAGGTTCAATGAAATGGGGGGCAATTTTGATTGATTTATTGATTAAATGATGCCCTACCCCTTCCAATGCACAATTAATGAGGCTGCGCCATAATGATAGGTTCTTCACTGCTGCGGGGCATTTCCTACTCACTGTTTCTGGGGCAAGTGATACAAACCTTCGAGCTGGACCCCACCCTGAATTCTGTGTGTGACACTGGGAGTCTGAAGTGTAGGGAAAACATTAAAATGAAACAGGGAAATGTCTCTATTTTTTCAATCGAAGGTCATTGATTTATTTTTTTAAAAAGGTATTTGCACTTTGACTTTCTTGGGTCAGCCGGGACCTCAACCAATTCCCCAATGAGAGGCAAAACAGCAGACCTCCTCCAAAGCCATCAATGCTTTTTTTCCCAAATCAGCTAGGATTAACAAAGCCATTTTTAAAACTGTAACTACCTAAAACAAATCAATACTCAACTTTAAAGAGGCAACATTTAGGGAGCCTTTATGGACTCAGGAGAGGAAATATCCTGCTTCTGATCTCCAGTGTATGGGGACACGTGAGAATAGACTGAATCACAGCTGTGATGCTTTCCTTGGTGAAATCACCCACAACTATTTAAATACTGCATCCACACATGAAGAAGACACTTGGGTGAGCTCAGAGGGCACTTGCACTAATGGATCTGTGATCCTGCCTGAAGATTGGGGAGGAAAGGGAAGAAAACTGGAAGGAAAATTTGAGGAGAAAAAAAATACAGTGAATATAGAGGAAACAACATGTATTTTTCCTTCGATTAAAAAATGATAATTGTACATTAGGGTATTAGTCCCAAACGCATATACCTTCTTGGATAAAAATGTATCCACTTATGTGGCCTTTCGTCATGTGTGAATATGGAAAGTGAGTGGTTGTGGGCTACTTCACCAGGAAATGTCCTGATAGTGTGACTGATCCCATCCTTACATATGTTCACAAGCAGGCTCAGCAGAGTGGAGATCAAATCAGGAGTTTTATTCCAGTAATAAGGTAAGCTTGAAATTAATAACATGGTGAGCAGAAGCCTCGCTACAACAATCGTAACATTTACAAGCCTGTGGCTAATCGATGTTACCTCCTGGATTTGATTGTTATGGCTATAGTGAAGAGTAAAACACATCAACCAATACAGTACTTGGAATCAGAAAGGAAACCATGTGCTTTGCTCTTTTAACAATGAGTGACAGATCCCAACAAGGCTTCACAAATTGTATTTCAAACTATTGACAATGAATGCGTAGCAGAAATTCTGATGCTCCCTCCCCCAGAGATGATCTGAGGTGAGCTGTGCTCTCCTGTAAGATGTTTGGCCTGTAAATAATTTACAATGTATGTTCTCCATTCTTCTTAACAACAAGGTTGTATTCAGTTTACATTGTTTTATTTTTCATTCTGTTCCAGTTCTTCGTTATTGTTTACATCTTGAATGTTCAAAAACAACAATACAGCCCCCTTCCCACGGGTAGTGTCACAGAGCAGTTATTTTGTTCATATGTTCATAATAAGATGATTTTTTAAAATTTTCAATATGGCATTTGCTGGGGAGGAATGTGTCAACATACAATAAAACACTGATGTGTTAGAGCTGTGTTTTGTGGGAGGAGGTGGTTGAGAATTAGATTAGCTTTGTAAAAGCTATGAATTTGCCTCCAGGTTAAACTTCTAAAAGTCTCAGTCGTCAAGCAGTGCTTCAGCATGGGAGGGATTAAAGAAGCAATAGAATTCTTACCATAGAGATCGTTCTGTTGTCCTTTCCCATTGCCAATAAAGCATAGTTGTAGACCATGAGCAGGAGTATGATAAGTGGGATCATATAGAGTTCAAAGTTCCAAACTAGAACAAGAAAGATCTAGACAAGATAACAGGAAAAAATATTGTTGTCAAAATGTAATATCAACAGAACCATCGACACACAGCTTATTTCTTAATTAAGGTTTTATTTTTGTAACCTTTTCTTGTCATGTATCTGTTTGTTCCTTTTACAACCTAATGGTCATGCCCTGGCAGGAAGGATGGCCAAATACGGTCAACCCATAAGATCTCCACTCCAGAGCTAGACAGCATTGGAGAGGTTCCGTGTATCAACGTGACTTCCCGTTACTGGCAGGAGTTGGATTTGAGACCTCAATGTTTTTATTTACACACTTATAGCATTTATCAAGTTAACTATTTCATCAAACAGATACAAAAATTAAAGCTTCTGTTGATTCATCCAATGACCCGGTTGACCACTAGATTTATTGTGGTCAACTTACGCTCATTTATTTTAGTACTTATTTATTCAGTAAAACCGCCTAAATTATTTTATCCCAAAACGGAGGCATTTAAACATTAATGTTAAAAAGCAATAGAGTAGTTATAGAATGACATCTTCAAAAAAGGGAGCCAACATGAATTGAGATTATTTAATATATCTTCCTTTTAAAATCTGAATTTCAGTTATCTCATGTAGCCTGCAAAGCAAAACAGTGGGAGTTCACCAAAACGGTAGAATTGTAAAATCTCTTTTGCATTTCACAGTCATGGCTCCCATCATCTAACATTTTGTAAAATTATCATCCTAGACACCATTAAAGGCAAAGAAATTCATGCCTATAAGACAGATTGAATTTCTTTATTGATAAACTATGTCGTTTATTTTGGTACGATGGAGAAAATCTACTCGTGCACTGATGATAGCTCCTGTAAATGTACACACAAGGGCACCCGTGACTGTCGAACATACACACACTGACAAAAGACAAACTGCTGGTTGCTAATTGTCTCCTAATATGATTGTTCCAGCTCAGCTGTCCCGTATGCTGCAGATACAAATGTCACCTTCTCTAGGGTAAAGTTCTGCTGGCTTTAACCTACCGCAACAGCATTCTGCAGACCCTTCAGATATGTGCTTAAATATCCTCCACAGACATCAGAATCACCCCCAATTTAAAAGGTGACTTTAGAACTGGAAAATAATGAGCATTGCACCTACATCATTGGGTTAATCTGACACAATGACTATCATCAACCACTGCCAGTTTTCCTCTGACAATTCCACAGGTCTTTGCCTGGGCATTTAACAGAGCATTTCAAGTAATTAAAAAAATGCAAAGACCTTCAAAACTAGATCACAGCTTCTCATGAAGCACCTAAATGACTATTAACGTTCTGTACTCAATCACCAAAAGAGCATATTAACCCATATATCTTCACTTCCTTCAAAGGCTTTACTTTCTTTATCTTTCTAACTCGCCTTACAAAGGGAAGTTTGCCAGAAAGTGTTTCAAAAGCAAGCTATATAGATTTGGCAGCATACCACAATGCACAATCTGGGGTTCCCAAGCCATGGCTGCCAACTAATACCCTGCAAAATTTGGTAAACGGAGTGCATCCCTTCAGGGAGAGCGAAGCATTAAAATCTAGACACGGGGAAAATTTCATGTGTAGATGGCATAATATATATGTAGAACTTTCAGTCTGGTTTGGGTACTCTTAGGTATGGTGATGGATTCCTGCATATGTCAGATCCCTTTCTGATCAAAAACAAGGTTTGCCTGTGTGGACCTTTCACTATCTTAAATTGAAAGCCATTCAAAAGCACTAAATTACTTTATAAACTACACTTTTTCAAACCTTTACTGTGCACACAGGCTAGGAATATATCAATTATTTCATAGTAACTACCTTTATTTATAGAAGATGTATTTTTTATTAAGAAGCTGGGTGAAGGGCCAAGGCACAAAGAGCATAGCTGCAACAGGATTAGTATGGTAACAGAGATAAGTCAAATAAACTTCATTGAAATTATTGACTATCAACAGTTTTTTTAGTGTTTTTTAGTGTTTTTTTTCTGAAGACCCTAAAGTTCGCTTGACTCTGTGCAAAAAAAATTTCAAGTCAGGCAGGATACGGTACATCAAAGTCATCAGGGAACAATTACAATGTCAGCACAGCAGCGTGAAGTCCATCACTGTTTTTTAAACACTGACCATGCTCTATTAGGGAAACCTAATACGTAGAGGTTTAATTTGCGAGATATGTAAACCATGTGTACTGTGGGAATTGCAAGTGCACTTGATATATAATTAACATCCAATGAAAAGGATTCCAGAATCACCTAGTTTCCCTATTTTGCAAATTAGACACCGTAATAGCATTAGGTTGCTTCACTGGCACAAATCCAAATCTGGGAACATGATAGAGGAAGCTTGCCCTTGACTTTAAATTCCTTATTCTAATCTCCAAATGTCTCCATGCCCTTGTCCCACCCTATCTCTATAATCTCCTGTGGTCTTCCGCTCCCACCCATTTCTTCCACTCTGCTAACTCAGCTTGCTTCACTTTGCCTCTACCCTTCGCCGCACCATCAGTAGGCAAGCTTTCAACCACTTTGTCCCTACACTGTAGAACTCTCTTCTTAAATCTCTCTACCTCACTCCTTCCCTCTGCTTTCACAAACCCGTCTCTTTGGCTGCATTATTGGCCACTTCTCGCCTACCCATTTATCTCCCAACCTGCTTGGTTTCCCACTCTGCCTCTGTGAAACATTTCCTTACATGATAAAGGCTAAATAAGCACAAGTTGTTCTTATTACCTCTTGTTTTATTTAAATTATAGTATATCCTGTGAAGCATTTCGATACTTGCTTCTATTGAAATTTTCTGTATCAAATGTAAGAATTATTTATTATAAATAGACTATGGTGCAGTAGTTATTTAGCCATCTCTATTGCAAGCAGTCCAATGAGGGGACTGAGAAGGAGAGTTGGATTATGTAAGTATTGTTTTATAACATACTATTTTATAATATTGAATATGCATTATTTATTAATGCATATTCAGTATTATAAGACATAGCCCTTTGCATCGCAAAGCAAAGCAATCTTCATGACCTATAAGAAGAAAACTTTTGATTGGCAAACATAAGATTTGTGAGGTAAGAGCACATGATTTAAAAAATAATTTGTTCTTTAACCCGAATATACTAATCTGTTTCATATGAAAATGTTTCATTGTGGATTTGATAGCCAGACAGATAGAGTTAAATGTCTATGAGTGATGTTTTTATGGAAGTGACATTAGGATATCTGTAAGGCCAAAGGATGTTTTGTTGTGAAGTTATTAAATGCATTACAATAAAGCACTGCTCACAAGTATTTATCAATTCTGTCCCATAATTTCAAGGAGTTGGCTTCTGATAGAAATTAGACAGACTTCCCAAATTAATTTTACATAAGACATAGCCCTTTGCATCGCAAAGCATTCTTCATAACCAATAAGGAGAATACTTTTCATCTCACCAAACTGGCTGGATTCAAACCCAAGTTCAAGAGATGATGATGATGATAATAATAATAATAATAATAATAATCATTGCACGACAGAGCCCCTTATCACATCCCTGAGATGTCTCAAAGCATTTCACAGAATATATTGTAAAGTGGATTGACTGTATATTTTACAGACAAAACTAGGTAGCGAATTACACACAGTAGTGTCCCACAAACAGTTGTAGATTGAGTGACGGATTTTTTTTTGATGGATTATCACCTCCGGAAAGCCATCCACCAATCAACTAACAACCAGGCTCCTACCTGCTAGTAGGTAAACAGGCACGTAGAGTAAGGATTCTCCCCGCCCGGGAATCAAACCCGGGTCCTCTCGCTTGAGAGGCAACATGGAATCATAGAACAATGTGCAATTTCATGACCTCAGGTTAAAGATAATTACCATACAATACTTGCTGAAACTTTTAAACTGTGGAGAAGGGGAAGATCATTTATGTCCTCTGTTTTATTTTTAAACTCATTTAAAGACTGTAATATCATGTCTAAATAACTGTGGTGTCATGAGAGACCAACATTACAAGAAGTTCAGGAATGAAAAAATAAAAGAAGTTCATAGATGTATATAAATAGATTGGTACCGATAAATAAGAAAGACAAATAGAGACAAATGATGAATATGTTGATCATAGATACACATAAAGGAAAGTAATTAATCCAATTGAGCATGTATATCAATGTGAATTTATAAGAAAACACTGAAGGAAGGACACTGAGTAGTTTATTAAAGATGATCATGTTCTCTCCCAGAAGATAATTTAGTAATAAATGGCTTTTGCCCTCCTCCACATGTGGAATGATTCATCTCTACCATCTTTAAGTCTGAAGTGATAAGCAACAAAGGATTAAGACCTATTGTTGCTGTAGCACTCGCTCAACACAGCACTGAACTCACAGAGGACACTCACAGGAGAATGAATCAACAGCATTACTCAACTCTGGGATAGAGAGCCAGGTGCTCCAGGCAGCGCTCCTTTTGTTTCTATAGGCATTTCCCAATCCATTACTAGCTACAATCTAAGATGTGTCTATTTGTAGCCTTCACCCGGCATTTAGCTCACAGCAAGACAGGTGTGGCTTTGTGTGCTGAATACATGACACAATGCAGAACGCAGATCATTTTCCAATGTCCCACTTTTTAGGCAACCTAACACTTCATTCTTCCAATGTTAACTGCAGTGTTGTGTCTGAGACTCAAGGACTTCAATTCTTCAATGCCTTATTTTTTCAATGCCTCATTTAATCTGAGGTGTTATTATGTACCTGTACTTCACATCAGTGTACTGTAAAATGCAATAAAATACAGCAGTACTACAACATTCCCTCTTATTAGGTGAATCTAAGGTCATACACAATCAATTGTTTTGACTGACACTATGTTGTGTTGGCCCACTGATCCACAATGAAATTGCGAGCAATGTGTTGCAAGCTAATGTCACTGCTGCATTTTTCCTGGAGGGTTCTGCTCATCAAGGTAAGACTTAAGTAGAAAACATTTCTTCTTTCCCCACCCAGTGTCCACA